GCCAATTACCAATGAACCCAACTCACAAACTACCAATCAACCAACTCACAAACTACCAATGAACTAACTCACCAATAAACCTAACCCACAAACTACCAGTAAATCTCACAAATTAGCTCCACAACTCAAAGTAATAATCCCTATATATTTTTACCTATTCCAGAAAATTCAGAAGATGACTACAGGATCTCCTGCTTATTGATGGTATTTGTTGCCGTGGCAATACCCACATTAGCCAGAAGTGAAAACTCTTTTTATAAGTCATACCTCGAAGGTAAAACCCATATCACCTATAATTAATTAACATATATTCTACTCAACTCTACCAATCCTTGGATAATACATATTAAGAATGTATGTAGTTTAATCACGGTTATGTTTATTTCATGCTGAATTCAGGACATGGTAATAATTGTCACTGCATTGCCAAAGCAGTCAATGGTATCGCTGGAGCTTTGTTTACCCTACATGGGAAAGGTGATGTGGAAGACAGATTGAAAGAATTTCTTGCTGTAAGTAGTTTTAAAATCTGTCAGTGCATGTCCCATGCTCTATAGAACTCTTAATTTGAGCGTTTTGTTATTATTAGACTTGTGTCTTATCACCAGAGCAATGTCCCCTCTCTGCAGCACTCAAGCTCTGTCTTATCACCAGAGCAATGTCCCCTCTCTGCAGCACTCAAGCTCTGTCTTATCACCAGAGCAATGTCCCCTCTCTGCAGCACTTAAGCTCTGTCTTATCACCAGAGCAATGTCCCCTCTCTGCAGCACTCAAGCTCTGTCTTATCACCAGAGCAATGTCCTCTCTCTGCAGCACTCAAGCTCTTGTTATGTTTGCTAACAATGTCTTATCATCAAAACAATATCTTATTTCATGTTGCGAGGATTCATTTTTTCCCAATGAACCAATTTTCCGTATCACACATTATTCAATCTGTGTCATCCACAAAGCTAAAATTAAGTCTTTTTGTTGTTTTTGTAGCTGGCTTCATCAAGTTTACTGAAGCTTGGACATGAAAATGATAAACTTGTAATTAGAAACAGAGAATCAGTTTATCTCCTTCTAGACCAGGTAAGTGTGTTATGTCTCTACAACATTTGATTGTGGAAAGGTGAATTGAATACCTTGGCAAAACATTGCAATGGGTGTTATTTCTGAGTGGCATTTAAGAAGTGATGTACTGAACAGCGCCCTCTATGGTTTAATATGCAAGTGCATTCTAAACACACATAATAATTGTAATTAATTTTCATTGTGTTTCTAGATTGTATTGGAATCTCCTTTCCTAACGATGGATTTATTGGAGTCCTGTTTTCCCTATGTGCTACTCAGGAATGCCTACCATGCTGTGTACAAGAAACAAGATTGAACTAGTGGTTGATCAGTCAAGTCTCATATCATATGTAATATTTGGTGTATGTCCTCATTAGAGTCTAGTACCACACATAATATTCGGTGTACACCCTCAGTCAAGTCTCATACCACAGGTGATATTCGGTGTACGCCCTCAGTCAAGTCTCATACCACAGGTGATATTCGGTGTACGCCCTCAGTCAAGTCTCATACTACAGGTGATATTCGGTGTACGCCCTCAGTCAAATCTCATAGCGCACTTAGTATCTGGTGTACTCCCTCAAAGCACACTTAATATCCAGAAAAAATCCTCACGAGATCTCTTATAAATATGCAAGATGTTTTTCACTCATGTTATAACTCATGAGTCTAAAAACTAAGTACATTTTATCCAAGGAAATCCATTTTCTAAGAATTCTGTCAATGTAGTGGTTGGCAGTATATTTCTATCATTCACTTTACAATACTACAGCCTTGTGTTTTATATTATGGAGGCAATGATAGGCATGGAAGCAGTGGTTACTTCTCATTTACCGCTATGCTATGCAAATAGTTTGTACATTATAATACGAGAAACATAATACTTCTACTGTATAGAATTATAACTAAGATCTCATCATAGAGGCAATATTTGTTCAAAACCTTGTGAAATTCTGAGTATACTGAGAATTTGCAGTTCCACTTTACTCGCTAAGTTTTGAATTTCATTCTTTCTTTTTTTTATCACTGGTTTAATTCTTTTTTTGTTGTTGAAGAAAAGCTATTTTAAATTTAAAATTTTTAAATTCATTACAATATATTACCATAACATGTATGTGTTACCATGGTAACATGTATCGATGTGTATCAGTGAATCACAAATCGTCATTGTGTGGAAGTATTGAAAGCTTCATTTCCATACCAACCACATTTGTACTGAATATAACCAAACACAACAATGCATATGTAGTTGTTTGGACGCTTGGACTGAAATGTGACGTCAGTATGTATTCTTGGAGCTGCTAATACTGGTGTACATAGTTATGTAATGTTTACTGTTGTGGTTATGGTGTAATAAGTACTATCTCTGGACATTACTTACTGGTTTTGCTGTGGTCCTCACAAATAATTATTCATATATTAGCATTTTCTTGGATTACAGATGAAAAACAGATATGTAATGATATACTGTAAAACCATTTATTGTCACTGACATTTAATTTCACTATTTTGATGCTTTAAGTTCATGAACTTGGCAGAGAAACAATGAGTTATATTGTTATTTTACATGTTCATGTGGTTTTTATTTAGCAATTTCGCTTATCAACGAAAATAGTGAAATTAAAAATGAGTGAATAATTAATACATTTACAGTACAGTAATTGCTTTGAAATATTGAATGGAACTGTATATAACATTTTTGTGGTATTTAGTACATAAATACAATGGCATTATTTCTTTCTTATACTTGTCAAGTGAATGTAGATAGCATACAATATGCTTCAAGTGAATTCAAAAAAATGTTTTTGTTCATTCTAATTTTTAATTTCACACCCAGTGCTTCATTTCACCCCCATTGGTTGTTTAATGTTGTATGCAAATTATTACTTGCTTCATTTCACACCTATTGGCTGTTTAATGTTGTATGCTAATTTAATATATTGGAATGGCATGCACTGGTAGTTTTATAAAATACCAATATGGATCTATTGTATATAATAAATATCTAACTCATTCATTTTTCTGATATAATAACTCACTTATATCACCTGACTGTGTGTCCTGAATGTTTTAATTTACTTATTAAGGGGTTATGGGGTGGTAGATTTTGAAAAATGAAAACAAATTCTGCAGGGAAACAAAGCGAAGAAAACAAATGATATGGGAACTAGAAATTGGTGTAGTTCACTGAAGTAGACATGAATTGTTTAATACCTGTTGATTGTTTTTAAGGGAAGGAAGGATTGTGCCTGGGTGTTGAGTAAGGAAACAATATAGATGCTTTTGATGGGAGTTATGAAAGAATGGATGGTGATGCCAGAGTTGTCAAATTGAATAATATTGCCTACACTCCCCTTAATTGCTCGGTTTACAGGAAAGATGCATTAAGTATTTAATGAAATGTTCATACTAATCATCATCTGTTACATGTACTGTCACATTATCATGGATATAGAGACTCTGGGAAAAAGCTTTATTGATAGATTGTCTTGAATCAAAACAAATATCCACAGAAGTACTTAATTGTTAGTGTGTGTCACTTATAATGGGGCATTGGTCCTTGTTTTGACATTTGCACTACTGGTTCATTTACAAAATTAGTCAAAATATTGATTTGAAATCTTTTTTAGAAATGTGTGCAAATCACGTGGTGGATGTTGTCTCCTCTCATACTGTATGATTCAGTACATGTGAGAATGCTACAGAATGCAAGAGAAAACATGGGTTTAATTTTGTTATGATGCCTGATAATGGGATTTCAGCATGGGAGCAACTATTACATAAAAAACGATTTTTTTTCAACACAAATTTTTTTTTTTTTGTGCCAGGCGACAGTTCCGGACATTGAATGACACTGTTTTCTCTCCTGACTTTTTTTGTATGTGCAAATTGCAAGTGCTAGTGCTGACACATAGTGCATTTTGCCACATAAGTCATTTCCTGTTTGGGACTACATGACAGGGCCATCTCCCTATCAAATGGCAATTCAATGAGCAAGCACCTGCGGACCTTAACCAAGGTTCCCCCAAAGTCGCATTTCTTAGTGAATAACTCAACCAGTGGAATTGGCCTTCCCATTGAGTCTGTGACACACTCACCCAGGGTAGGGGTCGACCTTTTTAATGTGCAGCCTAAGGTAGGATTTGTGCGACAACCACTATGCTACCAGTGATCGGTTACATAAAACTGATGTAAACACAAGGGCAGGGCTTGAATGCCACTTTGCGGTCATTGACAATTGGTTGTAAGTTAATTGATGCCAGTTTGAGTGTTAAGAGTGTCCCAGGGTGTTTAAAATGCTCACAACTTATGCCAATGTAAAATAAACAAGATTACACTCTCAGAAAAAGGAAATATCTAATGATTATTACGATACATGATAAATGATTTAAATTCATTAAGGCCTTGTGCTATTCCATTTTGTACACAAAAATACAACTCAATCTTTACCAAATCGCCATGTAAAATATACGAATTTGAATGTTCTGATACCACTTGAATCTTATTGACATCAAGTGGTCTGTTGAGGGCGCTATGGTGATGCTACATTTGTTGAGTCCCAACAACCTTAGCATTTGACACAGGATTTTTTTTTTTTATTCAGATCAAAGGGACCAATTAGTAACTAAAAAATATGAATTACAAAACTACAATATTATGCTAACAAAGCAATTATATAAAGTTAAAGTAATCAAGTAGGCGAAATTTGAGTTTTGAAAAAAAATATTGCATTTAGATGAAATGTCATTGAAAGTCCACATGCACCTTAGCAATTAACATTACGACCCACTACTGGTTTGAAAATATCCTAAGAGTGTCGGACACCTTGTTGGAACATAAAAACAAGTTACAAAAAAATGGACAGGACAGCTGCAAGAATGAGTTTTTTATGCTGAAAATTTGCTTGTTCAATAAAAATGCATGATAGATATTTTCAAAAGCGGGACATACAATTGGTGACACGTGGGCAGATATTCTAAAAAGTCCATTATTCTACGCCATCAAGTTACTAGTATTCAAATTTCACTTCCATGAATTGCGCCCTCTGGTGACGGAGCACTTTTATGACAGTGGGCGACATGACAACCGTTCAGAGTGTCGATATCGTCTTGCATCAAAAAAGATTGTTTGTTTTTTGACGATTTTACTATATTATTTGTGACTAACAACCACACAAAGTTGTTGGTTGAAAGACCTATGTACGTCATTTCACGCCATAGAAGTGCTCTGTCACTTAGAGAGCGCCATTTATTGGAATACAAAAGAACGAAACTTCAGCTGTAAAATTCGGCCATAACATTTACAACTTAAAATAAAAATAAACTGTTCTGGTTTTGATCTATAAAACAATGGCAATCCCGGGCTGTTGAGCATCATTTCAGATATAACAATGTTGAATCTGGTGTATTTATTTCATCTGACAGTTACTGACACGACCACAACCCTGTTTCCTTGTTTTTATAAATTTCAATCATCGCAGTTGAATCCAACTAGCTAATCAAAGAACGTCACGCGCAATTACATCGCGCCTTGAATAAATGCACATGTTTCCAAATCTAACACGTGTGAGCTGTTTCAATCGCACCATTGAGAGGGTGGAACATTTTCCAACTAAAATGGTTGTTAGAGTTCAAAAAGACCAATCCAGAATTAGTATTGTGACATCATCGTTACTTCTAAATAATATTTGTGAGATAGTACAACAGTGTCCAATCAGTTTAATTTTGAATATGCATGATGCCGGGACATGATGTGGCCGATCGCAGTTGCTGTCACGTGAAGGCGTGTACGTACACAATTCATTATATAAAATACATGGCACATAAAGTAAATATGATTATGATTAAAAAATTATTTTTCAATATTGAAAACGACAACGGAAATTGAATTTTACCCGTATTTTCAAATTGAAATACTTTATAGAAAATGACATTAGCTGTGGTATATAATACGGCCATTTATTATTTATATACGAACGTCCCCATGAACATATCACAATATGTGATGAATTCAACATTGTCGAGTGTATAGCGCACAAATCTAAATTGAAAATTGATATATTGAAATCAAAATTTCAATATTCAATGTGTATCGGTATAGATTCCGCCCTGAAGTTGGATAGCAACTATATTCAATCAATGGTTAATGCAGATGGGAATTGACTTGAGGTGGTCGACAGCAGCGCTAATCCACAGACTGCATACACATATCCCTGAGGTGCTCGGGGATGTCAAAACACCCGGTGTCATCATACCAACCCCAACCACCGTGACTATTAGGGATGGACCATTAGATCTTGGGAGGGGTTGGTCAGACCAAGAAGAATTTTTTTTTTACTATCCAAATTCCTAATTTAATTTTTTTTTGCACAGAATATGTTTACGTTATTTTTTTTTTTACAAAATCCAATTTCTATTATTATTTTTAGTGGATACTTAGTTAAGCATTGCCTATATAAACTAACAACTTTGGTGTGTGTTTTTTCCAGTCACCTCTCTCAAATTATTTTTTTCCCGCAAGTATTGTTGTGATTATTTTTTTTAAAGATTATTTATCTAAATTTTTTTTTTGTGACCATCCCCTTACCAAAATTTAATGGTACATCCCTTACGAGCGAGCTTCATACTGTTCTATGCGCTGTTTCGTCCTGTGTCCAGTGCAAGTCAAGTCGACATATTTCAACTTCCAGCCAATAGAAAACGCCGTAATATTAGAGGTGTGGCTTAAATGACATTCTACTCTTAAGTAGATGACTCCAAATCAATCGTTTAACCAATTAGACTTTTTCAGTTTTCAGCTGGCTTGGGTCTCTGTCCGGTTCCCCCGTCGAGAATGTTTCCATGTCAAAGGGCCGGACATGGCAATGCTACCTTGTATCAAATCTTGCAGGTTGGGTTTTTTGTTTATCTTGAA